AAGTATATCCACAGGAAACTAATTTTAAAAAAACTATAAATAAATTTCAGAAAGATCAGTAGAATAGAGGGAGGGGACCAAGGGCATGAAGAGGGGTAGTGCAGGGGACAGAATTAGAGAAAATTATATTTCATGCTTTTGTGATTATGTCAAAGTATATCCTAATATTATATACAACTAAAAAGAATGAATTAAAATTTTAAAAAAATAAAAAGAATATCTCTTCCTGGATAGACAGTCCCAATACTTTTGCTGGAATGGAAATCTAATCATCTTTTTTCACCAATGAAAACTTCTCTGTGAAAGGAACCATGGTTTTAAGAGGAGGGAAGGGAGAAAAGGAGAGGAGAAAAAAGGAAGAGGAAAGAGAGAGAGAGATTTTTAACATAAATTCAATTTTTCCTCATGAAACACCTACAAGATTGCATTGAACATAAGCTAGAATAGGAAGAAAAAAATGTTTATGTTGTTTGTAAATTCTCCTGGTTTTATGTACTATGACTTCTTATATGATTTCAGCACATATATGATTCCATAATTTACCTCTTTGTTTCTGCCTTTAATAAAAATCTTTTCATATTTAAAAAAAAAAAAATCTTGTATCAGGACATTTTCCCTGAGCTCTCTGTTCATGGGTATATTAAATAGACAGTGTTTTTCCAAGCTCACTTTCTAGGCCACCATGAGACAATTTTGGTTTTCATTTTTCTATCATTTTCATGCTTGGCTACTTTTTTAAAAAGTTAAAAAAAGAAAATTGTTGAACATAGTGATGCTTCCTCCTGCAGAAAGTAGTAAGCACTTAGGTAGCTCCCCAAGAAACAGACAAAGGAAAGCTGTCCATGGTGCTGGATCTCAATCTCCATACACAGCTGACAGCTCCTCCAACAAGAATTCAAGAATTGTGAGGAATATTCCTGTGGAGGAGGGGAGGAACTGCTCTGTAATTAGTGGACTCTGTGATGTTGTGAAATTCATGAAAACAGAATGAAAGCTTGACTGGAATCACAGCTACTTGGGATCTTATTTGCATTCTCTCTTAAGCCTGCAGTGCTATAAATAGAAAAGTCTATACATAGTGATGAGTTGTTTCCACCAATAGTGATTTTATGTTTTAGAAACATCTAGAGACATTACTCGTAAGAATCCATTTCTGCACACTTTCCCACTGAGAATCTCCCTCTCTTGACACTGCAGGTGGCCAACTTTGAAATCTGCTAATGATACATTAGATACAAAGAATGCAAGAAGAATTATTATTCTTTAAGCTAATATGTGCAGAAATCCTTTTAGTTCTAGAAGATTTCCTGGCATCTGGCTATGTTATATAAAAACCGGGCACCTCTTCTAAACCAACATTTTTTATTTTTTTAATTAGCTAATTTTTTTCTAAAAATAATTTTAATACCCATAGAAACTCAATGACAGTCACTCAATATGCTTACCATACTGTAGACTCATAATCTAATATTTGGCAGTTAAAGTGCCAAAACATATAGATGTTTACATATATTTAGATGCATGGTATTTTTTTAAACTAAGCTTTAAACCAACTAAGTGAATGGTTTCCTCCTTCATGTTATAGTTAAGTATAATTGTATATGAAGCAGACTACATATTGTGCTAGTAAAGCAAAAGCTCTCTAATCTTTGTACCTTGATATAGAAATATCTTGTTTTCAGATATATATTAGTTAAAAGTTAAAATATAGTCCAAAGAGTAATAAAATTATAATACCCTGGCATCATGCTAAGAACTCAATAGTAACGAATGCCCATCAAATTTTACTCTTAAAAAGAAAAGTTGTCCCAGGGGGTTGCCCTTAAACTTAAAGTAAACTATACAAGAGGATTACTGATGACTTTAAAAATACAAAATCTTGGCCTCACCCCAGAACTTCCAGATCAGAATCTCAGGAGAGCAGAGGAATATGCACTTTAAAATCCACAGAGAGAACTCTCTAGTAACATCTGTGATTGGACCACAGATAAGCCTCAAAAACTGCTTTCGTAGGAATTCACATGTTACAGAGCTGAAGTTTCAAATTCTTGCTGCATCTACATTTCTTTTTTACATATGCTGTGTGTTACAGAGATTTATTCATGTATTGTATTCCCCAAAGACTATAGAAGTGAGTCTTACTAACTTTCTGGCACATGGCTCTATCTATAACATATGTGTACAGGAAATATTGCTTGAAAGAAACTGGCAAAAAATATGGTATTCTGGTGCACAGGTAAAAACTTCACCAACAACTGGATTCTTTCCCAGACCTACTTTTTATTCATAAAAATGTCACGACTTCCTCAGAGAGGGATTTGTACTATAGTTTCTATGTGGTTTGCTGTTCTTATGAAGGATGAAATTTTTAAAACTTTCTCATATAAAAAATGTACATTTCATGTGATTACATTCTCATATAACTTGTTATACTAAATAGTACCAAACAAATTCTCAGCAATGTCTCAACAAGATAAACTGGGCAAAGAAGGATGATATTGTTTCAATCACTATTTCTGAAAGTCTACTGTTTTATATACAATCCATCAATGGGTATTCCTTTTTCTTGTCAGTGTTACCTTCTGCTTCAGGATGTGGAAAAGCATCAAAGTGGCTTAAGTGACAGAGAAAATCTCTGAGTTTGTAGCTTCTGAATAAGTTGGATCTAGAAATGGGGATCTTTGGCAAGATATGGATAGAAGAAACCATTAGATTCACATGTGGTACAGTCAGTAGCAAAAATAGATTTTAAAAAATCTACTGGTGAAATATCTGGCACTCTAGTCTTTTGAAACTTGAAGGTGTAATTCAAAGTGAAGTACACAGAGGTGCCATCATCTGGAAGAATCTTCAATGGTTAAAATTAACAGTCACTAATGAAAGGCTGAGGGACATCAAGATGGGACAAAGGGCTGTACACTTGCCCTTAGAGAGCCAGAAAAGGTGATTATCTCTATCCTTGAACTATTTTCTATAAAACCTATATTTCCCTCTCCACTATATCTGCCTACTGATGCACAAATAAACACAGTTGTCACCACACAAATTAATACAACCAACTTCTCACAACATCTGATGAAAGCAAAAAGGAAAGGAGACTTGGTTTACCAATAGGACATAAAAATCATGCTGTCCTTGGTTTTAACAGAAAAGCACCTTTTCCGCACCTCAAATCTATTAAGATCTATGTGATCAAAGCACTTAATTAGTGTTCAGATTGGTTTGATTTTCAGATATGTGCTATTCTCCTTTGTCTTGAAAAAAAGTTAATTTGTTATACTCCTAGACATTATCCTAGAATGGAAATCACCATCATAATACTGATCTTTAACTTTTTCCCCAACCTTGAAAACCTATGTGATTTTATATGTTCACTACGTGAAACTGCTATGAAATTGCCCTGAAAGTTATAAAAGGAATAAATTACTGATGGCTTAGAGGATTAGCCTGTGCATTTGTAAAATCCAAGGGTCTCCAAGACTTACATGCCAACAAAGCTAGCTTTTCCTGTTATCTGATACATAAACTTTCTCCATAGCACTTTATCCCACTAACACAAAGAATTAATATCAAAATAAAAACATTTTTAGAAAAGCAAACCTTTTAACAATTCACTTAAATACTAGTTAGTATAGAAGAAATGGTCCTTTCCTGTGAGCAACTTTATTTTGGATTAAGAGAGAACTGAAAAGGAAAAGACCACACAGATGAAAATAGCAAGAGAGAAATACCATGGTATAGGCAAGACTACAACCAGATTAGGAGGCTGAATAATAAAGACAAAATATGCTATCTTTCTAATTATGGAGGCTGGTTCTGACAACTGTCTTTAAGAGCTAACAATCAGGTTGAAAGGTAAGATGTAACAGGGGAAAAAATAAAGATCCACATATGGCAAGGTATGTGGACTAAGGAAATAATGAGAGAGAAAGGGGAGAAAAGAACATCCATATTGAATGAAATTCATATTATTGAAAATGGCAAAAAAATTTCAAACTAGCTTAAAAACATAAAAAGAGGGTAGACTATGCATATTCAAGTAACTACACAGAAACAGCTGATTCTGCTGCCCAAATAATGTCATCAGTAACCTCTCTCCCCAAATCACCCCTATTTTCCTTGCTAGGTATTATCTATCTACTCTTAGCCAGGCTTTCCCTCTGGATGAGCAAATGCCACTAGCAGCTTCAAAAGAGCACTCTCCACAGGCAGCCTGGTGTGCCCCATGTACCCATCTTGCACACTGTGAGTGGTAGCAAGAATAGAGTCTGCCCCTTGTAGACAACATGGCTGAGAATGATGGATGGGTGGGTCCTGCCAAGGAAACTGGGGCTACTGTTACTTTAAAGAGGGGAATGGATACAGGGAAGGCAGAAATAACAGATTCTAAGTCACTTCCCCCTCCTGAGAATGCTTTCCTGGCAAGTAAGAGGAGTATTTTTTCCTGAGCTCTGCTTTCATAGACACTCACAGCCTGGGGCCACCAAACCATATTTTAAGTAGGAGAGTTGTATAGTCATTACAGCTCCCCACTGTGCCTTTTTTCAGAATTACACAAGTGCAGCTTTTGGAGGACTTTGCCCTCAATATAGGGAGCTTATCACAGCTTAAAATTCTCCTCTGAGCTTTAAGCCTGAGATGGCTTTTCCTAATAGACATTTGAAGCACTTTATTGAAGCAGCAGCACACATATTTAATGAATCCCTGAAAAGGCACCTAGTGTGAAATAAAAGATGAGATAAATCAAAAACAAAAATAGATGGCTTAAAATAGCTTTCATTGCTTCTGACAATCTATAAAGCTGTCCATCTGCTTTCAATATACAACACACAGATAAAAATACTCAAACATTAAAACACAGAAAAAAGGGAAAAAAACTCCACTTATTAGATAAGTTGCAATTTTTGTAGTTTTATTTATATATGCATGAGTACATGTGCATGTATGTGTATAAAATATCAGTTGTTTTCTGATTTTTGAAATTGCTTTTCTTTTCTCAGTGATAGTGACAACTGGTTTTGTGAGTGTCCAAGGCTGTACTCAGGGAAGCTGTGCCAGTTTGCAAGTTGTGAAAACAACCCATGTGGAAATGGTGCCACCTGTGTTCCCAAATCCGGAACAGACTTTGTCTGCCTCTGTCCATATGGGAGATCTGGACCCCTCTGCACTGACGGTAAGACATTAAACATGTGGCACAGGCAGAGAGAGATGAAGAGGACAGAAGTGACTTAGAGACATAAAGGATAGCACCTGGTGGATCAAATACATCAGATTCTTGGTTCTTTTCAAATTAGTTGAGACAAGACTCACTACTGACACTGATCACTGAGCAGGTGTTTCTCATACCTATCAAGTAATTGCAAAAGACATAATGAACTTTCCCTGAGGTTAGACTGCAGAAAACCTCTGCATTATAAAATCTCAAAGTCAATCTAATAATAAGAAAGTAACAAGGAAAATCAAGAGCAATACATGGAACCAAAGTATCTTATATCATTTTGGCAAACTGAGGGCATAATAGTAATAAATTTACATATCATAACCCAATTGTTTCACATTTAAACATAACAAAATTATGACTTGGTTATTATATACCAAGAAATTAAATTATGAAGAACAGTTCTATGCCTCTCCTTAGGAAAATTCAGGATGTGGAAAGCCTAAATTGTACAAAATAACAAGATGCTATAATATAAGATTACTTTAAGAAGCAAATTGTCTAAGAATTTAGTGTTAGTTTGATATCAGCATGAAATCAATGTGTATATAAATACTTTCAGAAATAATAAAAAGTAACATATTAATATTTAATCAACACAGGACCAGATATGTTTCATCTTTATTTTTACCATGAGGTAATAAACAATCTGGGAACGTTGGCATATGTCTGTAAACTCAGATGCTTGAGAGGCTGCGACAGGAGAATTGTGAGTTTAAGGCCAGCCTGTGTAAATTAGCAAGAACCCATGGTGGTGGGGATCACACTCCAGAGCTCATGCTTGGCAAGTGCTCTAGCACTGAGCTACTTCCCCATCCCCTGAGAATTTTATTCAGTGTGAGGCAGTGTTATACTAGATGTTAATCAAAGCCATTTTATAAAAAGAAAAACATCATAGACTGCATGAAGTTGAAATCTTGACCTTTCCTATAAAAAAACCTCATGTTTCTCAAACATAATCATTCCATTTAGATAAAAGTTTTTCAAATGATGGGTCCATTCCCAGTCTTCTGACAAATCTTCATAATTCTTTCCAAAGTGGTCGCACTAATTTGTTGTCCTACTAATAATGTATGCGTGCACCTTTCTCTCCACATCCTAACAAGCATTTACTGTTATTTGTATTCTTGATGATTCTCATTCTAATTGGAGTGAGATGAAATCTCAATGTCTATTTGATTTGCATTTCCTTAATTGCTAAAGATATTGATTTTTTCATATATTTGTTGGCTATTTGCATTTCTTCTTTTGAGAAATGTCTGTTTCATATGCCCATTTTGATTAGGTTATTTGGTTGGTTTTTGGTGGAGTTTTTTTGGGAGGCGGGGTGCTTTTCAGTTCTTTATATATTCTAAATATTAATCTGTTGTCATAAGAGTAGCTAGCAAAGATTTTTTCCTTTCTGTAAGCTCTTTCTTCAAGGCCATAGCTATCCCACTCCTTTATATTTATCCAAAAGAACTAAAACCAGCCTACCATATGAAGATGATATATGCATACCATCATTTGTAGTAGGGCAATTCACAATAACCAAGGTATGGAACCAGACCAGATGACCCTCAATAGACAAACGGTATAAGAAAATGTGGCATATGTACACAAAGGGTTTTACTCGGCCATAAAGAAGAATAAAATCATGTCATTTGCTGTTAAATGGATAGAACTGGAGAACATCATGCTAAGTGAAGTAAAACCAGCTCAAAAAGTCAAGGGTTGAATGTTTCTTTCATATATGGAAGCAAGCAAGAAATAAGGAAATTTTTTTTAAAGGGGGAAGTGAATCTCATGAAAATAGAAAAGAAAGCATTGGAGTAGAAAAAGGGAATAGAGAGCACATGAGCAGGGATGAGAAAGGGGAGGAATTTCAGAATAAAATTGAACAAACTTTGCTATGTGAATATTTGAGTATATCACAATAAATTCCTTTTTTATGTATAACTATAATGCACAAATTTAAAAATGGATTAATAGAAGGAAGACCAATAAAGTAGAGATAGGGTATCAGGGTGAGTAAGGAAAAAAAGGAGAGAGAGTAGTTCTGGGGATTTAAATGGAGCAAATTATGTTATATGCAATTCATAAATATGTCAAAATTGAACCTCACAATCTTATAAAACTATAATGCACTAATAATAACATATATTTTAAAAATTAACAAAAAAAATTGAAAATGCAATTGGTTGCAATAAATTTGATTACTAAGGAATGAGTCATCATTTTGCTTCCCAGTTGAAGACTGATTAATCATATAAAATAAGAAATGAAGATTTATATTTATATATCTTCACATATTCATGCACCAAAAAATGATTGTTTATTCCCATCTCTTGGATTTCAATTAGGGTTCAAAAGATGCAGAGATTTATTGATTATTGATACAGGAAAAATAAAACAAAATTTATTAGACTACAAGTAAGAAAATAACTCCTGCATGTACCATCCAGAGGAATTTCTCAAAATAATCAGCCTATCCATTAATATGTACTACAAAGCTACAAATCCAGGTAAAGGTATCAGAAATTTAAAGCTTGTCAAGAAACTCCTGCCCTCACAGAACTAGCCTGCTAATTGAGGAGATGAAAATAAAATAAAAATGGTTCAAGACACAAAAACAAACTTCTGAGAAGAAATTATGAAAGAAATAAACCATAGTGAGAGACAGTAACTATGGTAAAGGGCATTATTGTAGACAGGTTGTCAGGACAACAACTCTCAAAGGAGATATTTGAATGAACACCTAAGGAATAAGGAGCATGCCACATAAAATACAGGAAAAGAAACTGTCCAGATAGAAGTTTCAGAAAATAGAAGACAAGCAAAGATTGAACCTGGGCTTTTGGAAGCATAAAAGGGTGCTGAGACAGGTATGTAAGCATCATAGTCCATTTGGGCTTCTGTAGCAGGATATTACAGACTGGGTTGCTTATAAAGAACAAACATATATTTATTTCCCCATCACAGAAGCTGAGAAGTCCAAGGTAAAAGTGCCAGTAGATCTTGTTATGGTGAGGGCTGGTTTCCTGGTTAGTCCTCTCAATATATCCCCAGTGATACAAAGACTATCCAGCTTGTTTATAAGGGCACTAAATTCATTCATGAAGACTTTGCCCCATGACCTAATCATATACTCTCAAAGACCACCCTTCTGAATACCATTCTATAGGGGAAATTTTTTTGACATACGAATTTGTGGAGACATAAACAGTCTACAGCAACGAGTGAGCAAGGAAGAAAATCACAAATGTTGTTGCCAGGACCTGGATCATAAAAGGCCTTAGAAATATGAGAAGGTTTTGGATTTCCATTTCTAGATGTCTTAAGAAGCCATTGGAAAGTTTTTTAAACAGCCATTGGTGGGTCTTAAACAGACTTACATGTTTAGCTTAACCCATTTTGACTATAACAGAAGAGATTTTGGATGGCTATCATAGTAGTCATGATAAAAGATAATTAAGCATAGAACAGAGGGATGGCAGTGGAGATAGAAATGACTGGGTGCATTTGAAGTCTGTTCCGAGAAAAAAAAAAAATTGACAGAACTTGCTGGGAAGAGTGTGAGATGGGCAGACCCATGGACAACATGTAGAATTGTTTTACTTGTGTGAACGGCAGAGTAGATGTTGCTGCCATGAGGAAGAATAGGGACATAACAGAGTATTTTATAGGAGATCAGAGGAAAGCAAACCAGAGTTTTATTTTGTGAAGATAAAGAAAAAGATGCCTGTTTGACATCCAAATGGAAAGGACATGTAGACAGATGGATATATGATGCTGATGCTCTGAGGAGGGATGAGGACTGAAGACATTATTGGGGAGTCATCAAACAGAGATGTAGGTTAAAAATATAGGACTGTAGATTGTCTAAAGAGAAAGTACACAAAAAGAAAAGACAGTATAGATAAAGAAAATAACTTAAATGGAAGTAGGCAAATCCTAGAGAATCCCTCCAGGATTCCAATCTTCAGGGTTTTGGTGGAGGAGATAAAGCCATATTAAATATGAATGCCACCCTTTGACAAATGCCCCCATCATCACTCAGCCCCTAGGTATTGCTCCTTGCATGATGTGTCATTGTGTTCACCTGAATTCCCGTCAAAAGCAGAACCTCTATAAAAATTTGCATTTAAGTTGTTTATTTTGGAAATATAAAACTCCCAAGAAACAGGAATTAAAGCCTTAGAAAGAATAAAATGGGGAAAGAAAGAAAAGTCCATAGAAAAGCAGATGTGATGTTGAGTATGGCCATGGGTGATTTTGCTTGATTTCATTAGGATCTTGGGAAGAGCTATATAATGGTTATGCCAGAATTATCTGCCTAAGAAGCTCAAGAGAAAACCACTTGAACATTGGCTCTTGGTTCATTTTGATTGAGAGTTTTCCCACAGGACATTAATTTTCCCACACTTCTAGATTGTCATGCAATACTGGTGATATTGCTGACTCTCCCAGGCTTCTTAGGTTAGGCCTAAGTGGAAAAGAAACTGAAGCTCAAGGAAGGAGAGCTTAGTACATTAAGATCCCATAATAATCATTGAAATGTCCAATCTGGTGTTAGCTTCCTCCAGGAGCCATTTTTACATCAAACAAGAATTGATACTTTGTATACTCCACAATCTAGTGTGAGGTGGTACCCCAAATCATCTCAGACAATTCACTGTTACTAGGATGACCTCTATGAGAAAGTCCAGACATGCAAAAAAAAAATACTTATTAGAGAAAAGCATAGAGCAAATTAATAAGCCTAACCTATAGCAAAACTAAAACTACACAGTAGAACAAGCACAGAATAAGATCTTTCAACCTTTTTGTTAATACCAGAGGATGAAAAATCAAGTAGTTCATTTCATCAGCAGTTGTGTCTCCTCCATTGCACTTTTCTTTCAAAATATGTCCACATCTACCATCCTAATATATTCTTTGGGGAATAATAGAGCATGTAATTCTAACATTTTCTA